CAGATAATATGCCATTCCAATACATTCTACTGAATACTTACTTTTTTGTTAATAGGTACTTCAGTATGCATTTGTAACAGGTAAGGAGATTTGGTTTTGACATTACTACCATGCTATTATACCCAATTCTTTAATATCTCCTAGTGCCTGGTCCACAACTGTTACAAAAATATCTCATGTAATTCCTTTCTTTTTGGGACACATCTCACTGTATAGCCCTGACTCACTTGTAACACTCCTAATTCTCTATGTATGCCAGGACATACATAGTATGGTCTCAGACTCAGAGATACACCTGCCCTTTCCTCCTGAATGTTGTCACTAAAGGTGTATGCCATCATGCCTAGCCACAATCTGCCTATAATTTTTTAAAATTTATGTGTGTATTTGTCTGCATACAGGCTAAGGGCAGAGAGGGGCTTTAGGTATTTTCCTCTATTGCTTTTGACTTTATGAGTTAGGGTATCTCAGTTGGAAGACTGGCTGGCTAATAAGAGCCGGAGATCTGCTTATCTTCACCACCCTCCCCCAACCTCACAAGTGTTGGGGATGCAGATGTTCTCTTCCAAGCCAGCTTCTTAAATGGATGTTGGGAACCCAAACTCAAACATGATGCTTAGATGGTAAGCACTTAACTGACTGACCCATCTCTCCAATCCCCCAGTCATTTAATTTATCTAAACCCAGTACTGGTTCCCTTATTTGTTTGTTTATTTACTTAGGTTTTTTTTTTTTTTTTTTTTTTTTTTTTTTTTTTTTTTTTNTTTTTTTTTTTTTGTCAGGTTCGCTACAAAACTCCTCCTGGAACTCACTACGTAAATCAAGCAGGCCTTGAACTCACAGAGATCCCACAGAGATCCGCCTACCTCTGCCTAATGAGTGCTGGGATTAAAGGCGTACACTACCATACCCAGCTTGATTCTTTTTTTCTTATTTTTAATGCCATTTATTTGATGAAGAAACAGAAACACATGCACTGTAGATTTTCACATTGTGGATCTGGCATATGGGGGCACACAACACATCTGTTCTTCAATGGTGACATAAGACCAATCTGTCCATGCCAAAATATTTAGCACAGTCCCTATGCACCGCTATCTGCATTAACCCTGAAAGGTACATGAAAAATGAGATACAGAGAAATAAAATCATGAGTAAAGATGCGATAAAGTATAATAAAATTCTGATGGCAACATCTATATAGAAAGTGGGTACAAGGTATTCACTACAAAATTCTTTCAATAAATAAATATTTTTCAGTAATATGTATAATTAATGTTTTACACACACACAGAGTCAGGTATGCTGGTACACAAATGTAATCCCAGCAATGGAGAGGCAGAGGCAGGAGGATCTTTGTGAGTTCTAGGCAAGCCTGGTCTACATAGCAAGTTCCAGGTCATCCAAGGCTACATAGTGAGACACTGTCTCAGAAACCAAACCAAGTGATGATGGCAAACACCTTTAATTCCAGCACTTAGGAGGCAGAGGCAGGTGAATCTCTATGAATTAGAGGCCAGCCTAATCTACAGAGCTAGTTCCAAGACAGACGCGGCTATACAGAGAAACCCTGTTTCAGAAAGACAAAATATTAATCAATCAATCAATACAACAACAATCTGCCAAGGGACTGGAGAGATGGCTCAGTAGTAAAGAGCACCCGCTCATCTTCTAGGCCCCACGTCAGTTTCCAGTGTTCATGGCAGCTGACTCACAACTGCCTGTAACTCCAGATCCAGGGAACTAACTCCTGTCTTCTGCAGTCACCTGTGCTCAGGTAACATACCTAAGTACACACGAGGACATAATGTGTGTGCACACACACACTTAAAAAATAAAAATAAATTGCTTAAAAAACAAAAATAAATAGAATTACTGAAAAATATTTCAAACTTGAACATTATATAATATGGGGGAAACAGTTTCCCTGGTATTCTGGGACTAACACATAAAGTTTCTATCCACAGCCTTTCTAACCATTTTGGCAGACAATGGTGATCGTTAACTAAATCTATTTCATAAAGGTTTGCAAAATATAATTCTCTAGTTCTTTTTTAATAGTTTTGGCTGTGATCGTCCTACAGGGCAAGCAGCCTACTACTGTCTAATCCACACCGCCAGCCCTGTGATTTCCCTAAGGAGAAAAATGTCCCTTTGTTGCTTATCTGACTGAGCTGGAACCTAATTGTTACAGGAAAGGCAAGACAAATGCTTTCTCCATTCCCTTTGATTATCGATTTTATAAAATACAGACCAAATGCCCTAACAATCTCTAAAGAATCCTGGGAGGTTTTTAAAATCATTTTCTGTCTTTGATGTGTCTACTGAAGCCATTGTTCCTCTGAATGCTGTAGTTGTGCTGTGTGTTGCAACCAGAGTCCTTTAAAGGTGGCTCCTGGCTGCTACTGCCACGACCCCATTAAATTCAGATAGCGTCCTTGTGCCTGGGCTCATGAAACTGCCTTGAAGCTTCTAATGTACAATCTTCGCCCTAGACCTCAAATCAGCCTTTATCCCAGAGAGCTCTGAACACTTTGAGTAGAAAACAGTACTTATAGACTCCACTCTGGAGCTAGGGCACTACTGCTGCTGACTCCCATTGTTCCCAGCACTGAGAGTGGACACTAGAAAAATATCCATTATCTAAAAAGAAAAACATTAATCATGCATTTACCTAGGATTTCCAACTGAAATTCAAGAGTATAGGGCTTTTATGATAGCTCTTTGGTTTTTATATGCTTTTCTTATATAAAAAATCTTCATCCTAATCATATCAACTAAACAATTTATAATATATTTTCTTTGTGTGTGCACGCATGTGAGTGTGGGCATATGTGCTTCAAAATAATATCTAATATTTTTACTAGCAGTGAAATTATAAAGGACAGTTTGGTATTTTTTGTTCTGGAACATTTGAACTAACCTGTGCGAAGGGTGAGTTAATAGCCACCTCACCTGCTGCACCAGCCCAACACTATCGCTCCTTAATTGGGAAGGAATGAGGCTAGTGCAGAAGCTCAGTCCATCAGCTTTTAGACCACTCTCCCTTCCACCCAGCACCCTAAGACAGAAACAGACCTGGAAGAGGAAGTCTTCAGAAACCAGATAAACACAAGAGGAACAAATCGTCCTGCCAAGTAACACAGGGTCAGTGAACTAAGGAGCGAAGGGCTTGGACAGAAATCAGGAACACAATTCCCATTAAACAGGCAAGCTCAGTCAGAGCTGACAGGCAGCAGCTAACGTTCTCAGCAGGAGCTCCAGCGAAATGCTGCTTAGCAACAGGGACAGCAGATGACAATGACAACCATACAAAGAGCTGGAGGATCAGATTAAGTGTGACAATCACACCATCTTACAAAGGACTCTTCCCCAGCCAGGCACAGCTAATTATGGTAAGTGGTAAATACGGTCCCTGCGTTGCCTATGCATTATTATTTTTATGTCCTATTTTTAAAAAAAGGGTAGTAAAAATGTCAAAGTCAACATTCAGGAACTGGCCCACACAGGAACACTACCCTGAAACCATTGTTTTGAGAATATCTTAAAACTGCATAGGACACTGTGGAGATGAACTGTGAGTCTGAGGATGTATAAAATTTAAAGTGATCTTATTAACATTTTTTATTTAATTAGTTAGTTGGTTTTTTTGTGTTTTTTTTTGTTTTGTTTTGTTTTTGATACAGAGTTTCTCTGTGCAGTCCTGTGTCTGTTCCTGACTGAACTTGCTCTGTAGACCAGGCTGACCTTGAACTCAGAGAGCCACCAGCCTCTGCCTCGGAGTGCTGGGTTAAAGGTGTGTGCCACCACACCAAGACTAACACTTTTTTTTCCAAATTTGAATTCCAATCATTGTCTACTTGTGTGTGGCATATTCACGCATGTGTGTAAGTAAACATGCCTAAGTGTATGAGGGGTCCAGGGGAGGGTGTCAGGGGTCCTATTCTCTCCCTCTCTACCCTATTCATTTGATATAGAGTCTCTCGCTGAGCCTGAACCTATGCTGGTAGTCTCTTCCCTGAACAGAGCTGGGGTCACAGGCACATGTATGATCATACCCAGCTTTTTACATGGGCAATGGGTATCCAGATACAAGTTCTATGTTTGTACTGTAAGTGCTCGCACCCTCTAAACCAGTGGTTCTCAACACTGTAAGTGCTCGCACCCTCTAAACCAGTGGTTCTCAACACGTGGGCCCCAACCCCTTTGAGGGCAGGGTCAACCAAGCTTTTCAAGGGGTCACCTAGGACCATCAGAAAACACAGATATTTACATTTCAATTAGTAATAGTAGCAAAATTAGAGTTATGAAGTAGCAACAAATGTAATTCTTTGGTTGGGGGTCACCACAATATGAGGAAATGTATTACAGGGCTGTAGCATTAGGACGGTCAAGAACCACTGCTCTGAGCCATCACTCCAGCCCTTCATTTACAACCTTTGGCCCATGTGAAACCTTAAAAAAATTAAGACTTTCAGGCTCCCACTCAGGCATATTAAATCCAAAACCTCTAGAAAGGAACCAGGTAGCAGTCTATTTTATAAAGGCTAGGTGATTTTATTTGCACTCAAAGTTGACTATCACTACAGTAGAAAAATATGTAAAGCAGTTCTAGAAGTTTCGTGTATGTGAGACTCGCATCAGGAGCTTGTCAGGCACAGGGTATAGTATGAAAGACTCAGCTTCAGCTGGACAGGTGTGAGCTTAATTTTAATTAATAGCCTTCATGTTTAGCCAGAACTCCAAGATACGTGGAAAGGGTGCCACCAAGTTCCAATCTAAACAACTGTTTTTGAGACAGGGTCTCAGCACTTAGCCCTGGCTGGCCTGGAACTCACTCTGTAGACAATGCTGGCCTCGAGTTTTACCTGCCTCCGCCTCTGAGTGCTGGGATTAAAGGTGTGCACCACCATGCCTGGCTAAGCAACATTTATTTTTTGAAAAAATGCAAAGAAACCAAAATAACAGCAGGTTGGACCCAGAAAGTGACGGCTACTAACCTGAGATACGTGCGTGAATATCTGCTCAGACATCCTCTCGCACAGGACAGCCAGCAACTGCAGCACCAGCAGCTTCTGCTCCTGCTCTTCTATAAGCAGAGCCTGGTGTTGCTCCAATTCCAGCAGGCTTGTATAACAGGAGGGCGTGGGTTTGAACTCTGCTTCATTCTCCACTACCAGATGAGACAACTCCTAGAAGCAGGGGATGAAAAAAAGAGTGACAGAAAAGCCACTGGCGCTAAGGACTTGGCAAACATGGAGGGATTCGCAGCCAAGGAAGCAATCTGCATTTGTTACACACGCCTGTGGTCTCCGCCACTTGGGAGGCTGAGGGAAAAGGATTGCAGGTTTAAGGCCATCAAGGCTACAGAGGAGTCCAAGACCACCCTGGACAACTCAGTGAGACCTTCAAAACTAAAAAATGAAAAGAACCAGGGGTATAACTTCATGACAGAGTTGTTCTTGTCTAATATATACAAGCACTGGGTTCAAATCCCAGTATTGAGAAAAAGAAAATAAAGAAAACATAAGGTGTAAAGTAATATGCATTTTGTGATACCGTGTATATGAACTTCACGCACACACACAAATACAGAGCACTGGTTTAAGGAAAAAAAATCAATTCATGAAAGGTGTCCTCTGGCCTCCACACAGTGACTCACACACGCTGACATACATACACATCCAAAAACATACACAAATAAATAAGTGTAAAAAAAGAACTTGTTTGATAAACTTTTTATAATATTTTCATGATTTCTATCACTAGCCTTCCATGAACTAAGTCCCCAGATGATATAACTTAGCCAAAGTACTTTCAAAGACCGTTAGATGGCTTTCCTTTAAGAGAAGCCAGAAATAAACGTCTGTTCACAGGGAATTCATTACTGTGGGTTTGGTAAGCTTTCGACTGCCCTTCTCCACTGTGAATTCCCATAGAAAGTGAAAACCTTAAGTTCCTTAACAATTAGTGCTTGCTGGAGTAGCTGACAGCTGAGAGGAACAGTGTTCAACTGTGCCCGGGTAATTTCCCTCCCTGGGGGACATTTTGAAATGTCTGCAGGACATTTTTGGTTGTCATAATTAGAGGTTAATGCAGGCATTTAGTGGATAGAGGTCACAGATACTGCTAAGAATCCTACAAAGAACAAGACAACCACACCAAATAACACATTTATCTAGACCAAGTGTCAGTTTTGACAAGGTGAAGGTTCCCTGGTTCCAAGCAGGGTTTCCCAAATATTTCCACTCACAGCCTCTTTTCCCTGAGGGATTTACTACAACTCCATGTGTGGTTGTGTGTAGAATATGTATACTAGTCAAGCATACAGTGGTAACAAATTATAAAGAAATTTAGAAATTTACTTTAAAACAATTCTTTGTCATACACCTGTTTTTACCATTTATTAAAGATGAACTAATTTTCATACTAATAAGATGGGTTTGCTTGATTAATTTTACATGAAGAATTCAATCTTAAATATTTGATATGGCAAGATGCACAGTATCGCCAATGTTTCTCAGAGTAGATTAACATTTTGATTTTATAAACATCAATACAGCAGGGGCTAGAGAGATGGCTCAGTGGTTAAGAGCACTGCCTGCTCTTCCAAAGGTCCTGAGTTCAATTCCCGGCAACCACATAGTGGCTCACAACCATCTGTAATGAAGTCTGGTGTCCTCTTCTGGTGTATACAATAGACAGACTATTGTATACATAATAAATAAATAAATATTTTTAAAAAACCATCAACACAGCAAACTCAAGTTTGCTTAAATATATAACACAAAATTGGAAAAATCAGTTGAGGGCCATTTCAGAATTTATTTAAAATTCTGATCTAATCCAAGGCCAAAATTCATTTAATGATTATGTACGTGTCTGTGTATGGGTTTGTTCGTGTTAGTGCAGATACCTACCAAAGGTGGCGTTAGATCTTGTAGCACTTGAGCAGTGGAAGAGGCTGACGTGGGTGCTGAGATCCAAACTCAAGCCCTCTGGAAGAGTAGCAAGCACTCAGCCCCTGAGGCTCTCTCCAGCCCCTCAACCAACAATTTCTTACTACTATTATTTTCTTTTTTAGATTTTTCGAGACAGGGTTTCTCTGTAGCTATGGAGACTGTCCTGGAACTTGCTCTGTAGACCACACTGGCCTCAAACTCACAGAGATCCTGGGATTAAAGGCATGTGCCACCACCACCCGACAATCAACAATTTTTAAAATAAAAAAATCCTAACACAATGAAAGTAAAAGAGAAACTAATATTTACCTGCTGAGGAATGAGCATTGGAAAAATATTAAAAGTCTTTGTTTTCCACAGTTAAGCCATTGTTTCTATAAAAGCAGCAAGCGCTGTAATTGATAATACACAGCGACCTCGAACCTGAGTAGCGCTGTCTCAGGCTGTGCTTGTTGGCACTGCGTGCTGACACGATGTTCTGCACTGTGCAAAGGGCATGTGGTCTGTGTTCAGAACCACAGCCTCAGTGACACTGTGTGGTATAAGAGCTGTCAGAAATGCCTGAGCTCACTCCCCACCAGATTTTGAATTAAGTTTTGGTTATTTTGTAGTCAAAAACCTTTTAGTGTTGACAAATGTTTTGTGATCCCCCACCCCCCACATTCACTTATGTGACCTCACCTGGGGTCATGACCTACAGTTTAAGAGGCTTGTGTTAGCTGGATATAGTTTAGCTAGCAGAATACTTGTGTAGCATGCACAAATCCCTAGGTTCCATTCCTAGAACTGTATAAAACAGGCCTGTAATCCTAGCACTCAGGAAGTAGAGACAAGAAGATCAGAAGTTCAAAAAAAAAAAAGAAGATCAGAAGTTCAAGATCATCATTGGCTAGACAGTTTGAGACCATGAGACCCTTCAAAAAACAAATTATCAAAGTGGGGTTTAGCATAAAGTATTTTGATTTGGTAGTGGTGATAGTATTTTGTTTTGTTTTGTTTTTGGAAACAGTGTCATTATGCAACCTGTGCTGGCCTGAAATTCAAAATCCTTTTCATGCCTCCAATTCCAGACTGCTGCTATTACAGATGTGTACGACCACACCTGGCTGGTTTGGACCATTACAGAAAAAAATTCATTTATTTTGTTTTCTTTTATGTGTAAGAGTATTTTGCCTGAATGTATGAACGTGTACTTTGTATGTGTGTCTGGTACCTACAGAGGTAAGAAGGCACTGGATTCCAGAGGGCTGTAGGCTACCCTGTGGGTGCTGGGAATTGAACCCAGGTCCTCTGGAAGAGCAGCCAGTGTTCTGAACCAAAGGACAGCTGGAAACAAAGCACACAAATAAGAGAACCTCTGCTTAGAAAGTAGAGCACGTGGCTGCGATGGAGGGGAGCGTGAACATGGAGGTGAGAGAGCACAGAAAAGAAACAGCCCTATTGCAGGTTCTAGAAACGTCAGCTTCGCATTCCCAGACAGCTTGAGAAAGTGGGAAAAGCAAAGCTGGAGGTCTCCAGCAGACATCAGGCAGGGCTAATGTTATGGGGTACATCTAGAGATTAGGGCCAAAGGAAACACAACAGGCACTCGGCAAGAAACGGAAAAGGTTTCAAGTGGCTACAGAGTGAAATGAGGGAGGCAGAGTGGCTGTCTCCTTTCCAAATACCTGACAGCACAGCAGTCAGAGAGGATAAGGGATTACTCTGCGGCTCTAAGACCTGCTATTAACTTCAAAAGGGTTCTTACTGTCAACACGAGCAAAGCTTAACTCTTTCCTAGATCAACAAGGCTGCTTTGTTCATGTCTAACCTCTCAGTGCAAACTATACAGCAAAGGAGACAGAGCACATTGGTCCCACTGATGTGTCCTTCTCTTGACAACTCCAAAGCTACCAGGAACTGAATTACTCTTTGTCTTCTGTTCATTTGCCCTAAACTGGAAGCAAAATTTTAGGACCTAAAAGTCTGAACGCCTTAAAGAGTCAAAGGCTTTCCTACAGCTGTCCCAGAAGGAAGAAGAGATATGACTGTGAGCACCTACCTTCAAACAAAAGATGAAGAAGTCTCCTGCCAAACCACACTGTTGGCAGTGGGACAGCAAGTCCCCAAGATGTTCAATCTGGCTCTGCTCCGAAGACACCTTCTGGTACAGGGCTTCATCTTCGTCATCACTGCAACACCGGGAAGAGTGTTTCTCATCAGTGTCACCAGACATAGCACTTTCTCTTGAGACCAACATCATTTTCTTTCTAAAAGGTCTGTTTTCTCTTGTGTGGACAGGGGCACATGTGTGACTACAGGGGCACATGTGTGACTGATTACAGAGGCACAGGTGTGACCACAGGGGCACAGGTGTGACTACAGGGGCACAGGTGTGACCACAGGGGCACAGGTGTGACTACAGGGGCACATGTGTGACTACAGGGGCACAGGTGTGACTACAGGGGCACATGTGTGACTGATTACAGGGACACGTGTAGTCAACTACAGGGGCACATGTGCCTTGGCATAAAGTTGCATGTGGAAGTGAGAGGACAATTCCCAGAAATCAGTTCTTTCCTGACACCTTATAGGATCCAGGAATCAACTCAAGTTCAGGCCTGAGCACAAGTGCTCTACCTACTGAGTCTTCAGAAGCTTAGAACCTCACAGTAACCTTGTAAAACAGCACTATTTCCATGTAGATCATCATTAGGTAGACCCTGAAAACATTTTCCTGTATCTCCATGCTGAAGAATGCAAAATATTTATTAATTAGAAGCAGAGGTACAATACTTTGTACCTGAAGGAAGTGGCTTTCAGGATGAACATTGAAAATTTAAAACAAAAAATGTCATGTGTGTCTAAACAAAAAGAGAGAGAGAGAAAGCAAGTGTGGTGGCTCATCCTTATAATCCCAACACTTGGGATGATACAGGATGATTGTTTCAAGTTTGAGGCCAGCCTGGGCTACATAGTAAGTTCAAGAATAGTCTAAGCTATAATAAGTGAACCAACACAACAAAAAAAAAAAGTATAAGCCCAGTGGTGGTGGTGCACGCCTTTAATCCCGACAGTCAGGAGGCAGAAGCAGGTGGTTCTCTGTAAATTCAAGACCAGCCTGGTCCACAAAGTGAGTTTCAGGACAGCTAGGGCTACACAGAAAAAGCCTATCTCAAAAACAAACAGGGGTTGGAGAGATGGCTCAGCAGTTAAGAGCATTAACTGCTCTTCCAGTGAGTTCAATTCCCAGCAACGAATGGTGCCTCACCACTATCTCTAGCAGGGTCTGAGGCCCTCTTTTGGCATAAAAGTGTACATTTAGGTAGAACTCTCATATACATAAAAATAAATAAATTAAGACAAACAAAGTAAAAATCTAGCTCCAAAGTCATATATAAGTGCTCATATAGAGTTGGGGTTTTGTTTTTGTCTGTTTATCTTTTGGGGTTTTTTTGTTTATTTGTTTGTTTTTTGAGACAGGGTTTCTCTGTGTAACAGTCCTACCTATCCTGGAACTCACAGAAATTTGCCTGCCTCCGCCTCCCAAGTGCTGGGATTAAAGGTGTGCACCACCACGCCCAGGGAAACAAACAAAAACAGAAACAGAGTCTCATTATGTAGTCCAGGCCTGGAACTAACTCCATAGACCAGGCTGGCCTCGAACTCACAGAGATCCCCTTACCTCTGCCTCCCGTGTGCTGGGATTAAAGGCGTGCGCGACCACCACCCAGCTAAAATTTCTTTAAAACAACTTCTTATTGGAAACTTCTGCTAGGCTAATGGCAGAGAGAAAGTGAAACAGATCAAGTAGCCTGCCCTACCCTGACAACACACACACACACATATACATACATGCACACACATACACGCACACACATATACACACAGTTTTCAATCTTTTGGAAATTCTGACTGTTTTAAGTGTCAATGGGCATTTTTCTTTTTTAAACCAAGGTGTTCGTGTAACCTTTTTTGTGTGTGTGTGTGTGTTTCAATGCCAAAAGGGCTGTACCCCTAACTGGAACACACCCAGATTTTAAGGAATGGTTACTTCTGGCAGTAGATATTCATTTAATCACTGGTTACTAACTATATTCTCATCAGGAAGTAAAATAATAGTTTCAATGAGAACTGGGTTTTCATATATACGTGTACTAATTAAACATACCAAATACTTTTAAACTCATATTCAATGGGCTCAGTTAATAGACCTGCTAATATTCAATGATTCTCAGGAAGCTTCCATCAGTCTGATAATTCTACTTTAATATTATGTTTTTTCTGTTTTCCTTGCCTATCATATTCAGTGTATGTTTTACATTTTCACCGAGTTAATCATGAATATAAAGTTAAATTTAAGCACTTCTACAAAGAGCCACACTTTGCACATGACCAGAAGGGAGCAGCTGGGTCAGTGACATACTACATATCTCCAGCCAACAGAAGCTTAGGTTGAGAAAGCAGCATCCTCTCCACAGATCATCACAAAGTGGGAACAATGTAAAGTACAGACTTGCAGGGCTGGGAGCACAGCTCAGTTGCCTCGGATGCATGTCAATCTCCAGCACCACGAAAATAAAATACTTAGGAGATGTTGTAGAAACAAACTATCCACTCTACTAAGATGTATTAAGTACTTTTTGTTTGTTTGGTTGTTTGTTTTGTTTTTCCAAACAGGGTTTCTCTGTGTGGTTCTGGCTGTCCTGGAACTAGCTCTATAGATCAGGCTGATCTTAAACTCAGATCCTATCTCTGCCTCCAGAATGCTAGGATTAAAGTCTTGCCCCAACATTGCCCAGCCTAGTAAGTACTTTCCAATCCATTCTTACGAAAATCAAACCTCATTATAAAATTACCAACTTCAGTAATCAAACAATTTCCCTTAGAAATAAGGCTGGAGAGCGGGCAAGAGAGATGGTTCAGCAGGTAAGAGCTCTTCCAGAGGTCCTGGGTTTGATTCCCAACATCCACACAGTGGCTCATAACCATCTGTAACTCAGGTTCCAGGGGATTAGACACCCTCTGCTGCACAAGGCATGTATGTAGACATGCATACAGACAAAACACCATACACATAAAATAAATGGATAAATAATTTTTAACTTAAAAAGAATCACTAAAGGCATACAAAACCATATTGCTTTTTGAGTCAGAAACAGAACTGGATTGCTCTGGTGTTACGGGGGTACATGAGCTGCCCTTTGCTTCGGCTCAATGGCAAACTGAGCTGTAGCTGGGCTTGCTGTGATGTGGAGCTGTGAGGCTCCAGTAAACCGCACCTACTGTTAGCTGGCACCTTGGAATAGCACCCAGAGGGTCATTTAAGGCTCTGGATTTTTAAGGATCATAAATAGCAAGTGCCTTGGCTGCCTGTTTCTGGTTTCCTTTCCAGCAGCGCCCCTTAGTGGTTGCCTCGCAGAACAATGTAATATATAAAATTCTATCAGGTCTGACATCAGAGGGTGGGTGGGTGAGCTCACCTAACGGTCTCTTGGACGGTAATCGCAACGCCACCGTGCATGGCAGCTCTAAACTGACACTGAGGATGGAGGGAGGGCACAGCTCTGTCCAACCCCGAGAATCCCTTCAGGCTGGCAATTGCCTTCTTCCTTTCCAGCTTCACCAGAATCCATAACAAGATCTCTTGGCAAAGCGACCTGGCAGAAAAAGCAGTTATGAATGAACGAGCCTGTCATCGTACTCCATGCAGCTAACAAGAAGCTATTTGGAAAAGGAAAGAAAGACTGTCGGGTTCCCAAATGCTGCCCTGTCACTGGCTGCTGACACGCAGGAGAAGGAAGCGTGGATCCTTCAAATTTCCGAGTACAAACGCCCTGGAAGTCACCCAAGGACAGCCTAACCATTGGCTCTGGAAGCAGCTCTGCTTGCCACACGAGCATCGTGTCATTATTATTTTTTTACTTCAAGTGTGTTCTACTTGTGCTAAGACATTATGAATGAAAGCACGCACTAAAGAAGCATTATTCTCAGGGCAGCAACACCTGGCGACCAAGAAATATCCAAGTACGAAGGGCTAGACAGATACAGGCACCCTCCTTGTCAGTCTTTGAGGAGACTGCAGCAGTGCTAGAGGGTTTTTTAAAGATTTTTACTTTTAGGCTGGGCATGGTTACACATGCCTTTAGTCATAAATACAGGGTGAGTACTTTTCTTCACTATTAGCAAACATGCTAATGATTACTATGAGTTATTGAGCTTACTGTTTGCCAGAACTGTGCTAGGGACTCCAGGATCCACTCTGTTCAAGGAACCCAGTAAAGAAGTACTACTGTTGCATATCAGTTTTGTTTGCTTTCTCTTTTCTCTGTAGTGCTAACGGTCAAATCCCAGGGTCTCACGCATTCCAGGCAGGTGTTTTACCACTGAGGTACATCCTCAGCCTGCCCCAAATCAAAATTGTGTAGACTTCAGGAAGGATGTAACTATAAACTCTTACGATGTGAGGGAAATGCCACAAATAACTGAAAACAGGCAATACAAAATAAATCTTTTCTAAAATTAACTTGTTTCTTTAATCTTATGTGTATGAATATTTTGCCTGCATGTATGTCTGTGCACTATGTTCATGCAATGCTCAGTGGAGGCCAAAAGACAGCATCAGATCCCCAGGAATGGGAATTACAGTTATTAGTCACCTGTGAATCGAAACAGGGTCTTCTACATTAGCAGTCATGGCTCTTACACCAGAGTCATCTCCCCAGTCCCTAAATGAATCAGTTTTGGTTGGTTGGTTGGTTGGTTTTGGTTTCTGAGACAGGATTTCTGTGTAGCTTTGGAGCCTGTCCTGGAACTAGCTCTTATAGAACAGGCTGACCTCAAACTCAGAGATCCTCCTGCCTCTGCCTCCCAAGTGCTGGGATTAAAGGCATGCGTCACCACTGCCGGGCATGAATCAGTTTTAAAGTAACACAGAAAAGTGTTTTCTGGAAGACTGATAAGCCCCTTCCTTTTAGAATGAAAACTCTGCATCTTTAATGCCAAATTCAGGCTAAACTATGATATACTAAATTCACATGCAGACTTTTCAGACTTGTTCTCCAGCACTCCACCAGGAAATTATAATCCATCACCTGTTTCCTCCTTCCCAGAAACAGTAAATACAGCATTTCTTACTGCTCAAACAATGGCATATTTACCCAAGGAAACACCTTTCACGTCTGCTGTATGGAACAGACTACAGAAAATCACCCCCAAAACTACATCCAATTCGCCTTAACCTGTAAAAATCCTTGTTCTTTTCTGTGTAAAATGAGTGAGAGAATCCCCAAACATCTTCCTACCTTTGAAAGAAAATAGCATCCTAATTTAAACTTCACTGTTTATAAACAAATGGGATTCTAATTATAAGCAAATAAATTCTGTTTGCTTACCTTATGTGAGACACACTCTGACTGGTAAAACAGTAGAGAGAAAAGATCACCCCGAGGAGCGGAAGCAGGGCATCCAGCAATACTGGGAGAGGCTCGTTTGCCACTACATACACCTAGACACAAGAACATGATGAGATAAACCACGACCAGCCAGAGCAACAAGAACTCAACACCAGCCTTCCAGAGAACTTAGAGCTTATCTTACACAGAACTTTCTCCTAAGGTGCACAGTTCCAGTGTCCACAGCTGTGCTGAACCTGGCAATAGAACCATGTTGACTGAAAGCAGCAAGATGTGGATTCCAGCACCTTCTCACCGACAGACTGAAAAACAGCCCAAAGTCGGGAATTCACCCATTTCCTGACCCCTTTCCTTCCTAGCTTCTAGTTGCCTCTGTATCTCCTGATGAGTCTACTGTGATCTGTACAGTAACGGTCCTGCGGCTGAAGGCTGATTAACAGTAACTATTATCAAATAGGAAAACTAAAAACCAGTCTGAAGGACAGAACCATGAACTCAGTAGTAGGGTCTGTGCTGGACTAAGTCCTCAGAGCTGAAAGAGAAGGAAAATTGAACAAAACCTAGAGTAGAAACCAAACAGTTCACTGTGGTGCCAAACTGTGATGCTATATGGCAGCTCTATTCTCTCCAAGTCAAGAAATGCTCAAAAGAAATGCTCATGGTAGCTCACATCCAAAAATCCCAGCATTCAGAAGACCAAGGCAAGGGACTTCTGTGAGGGTGAGGCCAGCCAGAGCTATAGTAAGAAACTCTATCTTAATTGCCAGGCAATGGTGGAACAAGCCTTTCATCCCAACACTCAGGAGGCAGAGGCAGGTAGAGGGGGCATTATGGCTTCTGTCTATAATCCCAGCACCACCAAGGCAGAATCAGCAGAATCAGGAAGATCACTAAAAGTTTTAGGCCAGCCTGGTGTACACAGCAAGTTCCAGGTTAACCTGGGCTACATAGCAATCATCTTTAAGTCTTTAAGAGAGAGAAAGAGAGAGTTGGTGTTGGGGAGACGACTCAGTCAGTAGAGCAGTTGTTATGAGAACACAAGCACCCACATAAAAAGCTGAGGCCGGGCGGTGATGGTGCACACCTTTAATCCCAGCACTCGGGAGGCAGAGGCCCATGAATCTCTGTGAGTTCGAGGCCAGCCTGGTCTACAAGAGCTAGTTCCAGAACAGCTAGGACTGTTACACAGAGAAACCCTGTCTCAAAAAACCAAAAAATAAAAAAACTGGGTGTAGCCATATGGTACCTCTAACACTGAGCTAGGAGGCAGAGACAGGAGTATCCCCGGGGCTCACTGACCAGTCAGTCTACCCAACTAGATGAGCCCCAGCTTAGTGAAGACCCTATCTCTCTGGATGACAACCAACACTGATCTCTGGCCTCTGTATGTGTATGCACAGACATGTACACATATACCCATGAGCAGGTACACAGACATATAATGCACAAAAAGTAAATGTAATAATTACTTCAGTATTTTTAAAAAATTACAATAATTTGAAGCTGGACATGGTGGCAAATGCCTGTAACCCTAGTACTTAGGAGACAGAGATGTTTATATAGTATACAGAGTACAGTATAGTCTTGAATATATAGTAAATTCCAGGCCAGCTATGGCTACATATCACACACACGCACATGCACACACACACTGTATATGCATATATAAACTCTCCCTGTTAGTTTTAGCAGCTTTATTTAAAGAACAGGGAAACTGGAAAAGAGTGCTGTGGGTACAAATCAAAGCTATTTCTGAGAGATGAAAGCTTGCAGAGGCCCCGTGCAGAGTGAAAAAAATCCGTTTTTCCAGCAAACCCTGTCCCTTTAGATGAACTCTCATTTTCCACTCCTCATGCCTCCTGACTCCTCTGTGGAGCCTGATAACTAAGGAGCTCGCTTCCTGTGCATGATCTAATTTCCATAAGCTGCAAATGAAGGGCCTTGTAGGGCTATGTTCAGAGGTAATATGCAGGCCTAATTACAGCATCACCGACTACAGGAGGTAAAAGAAGGGATCTCCCAGATAACCCAAGGGCCTATTGTCTGGCTCTGGAGCCTGTGTTCTCAGAGGTAAGTGCTGCAGAGCCCTCCTTCCGCACCAGCATCTTTGATGGCTATATACGGCCAACATACTTTAAATTTTATTTTTTTGCAGTGCAGGAGATTGAACCCAGGCCCTCAAGCATGCTAAACATTCCCTCCCCCATGATTATACCCTGGACTCAAACTTTAACATAGCCTCAACCAAGCAAATTTGTCAGAGGAATGTATTTTTGTTGATCCTAAAACTCTTAAGAAATCAATGATTTTTCTATTTAGAAAAAAACTTGTATAGCTATTTATACAAATATATTATTTAATTTTATACAAAGGCTCAGAAAATATATACTAGGTGCCAGTTAAATGCTAAGCAAGCTTGGTATGCTATGAATACAAGGATGAGCAAAGTCAGCTTTGAAGAAGGTTACATTCCCATGAGGAAGACAGAAAGCAACCACTAGGTAAAGGGAAGGATTATAACAGAAAATAAGAATATAAATATAGCAATATTCTTCAAAGTAGAAAGATTTAGAGACAATGTCCCTTTTGGCTCAAGTTGATAAATGATATATATGTCTTTGATATTTCAAAGAATTCAATGCTTCTGCTTGATATATACATGGTTGTCACATCTTTTCCAACATCAATAGTATTCTTTTATGTACTAAGCCCAAATCTACATCTGTCAGGCTTCCTTGGTGGAAAATACTACTATAGCCTTCTAAAGCTGAGGTTCTTTTCTTTATATATATATATATATTTATTATGTATACAATATTCTGTCTGTGTGTATGTCTGCAGGCCAGAAGAGGGCACCAGACCTCATTACAGATGGTTGTGAGCCACCATGTGGTTGCCGGGAATTGAACTCAGGACCTTTGAAAGAGCAGGCAATGCTCTTAACCACTGAGCCATCTCTCCAGCCCTGAGGTTCTTTTCTTTTCCTCCCTAAGACAGGGTTTCTCTGTAGCTCTGGATCCTGTCCTGGACTCACTCTGTAGACCAGGCTGGCCTTGAACTCACAGTAACGCGCCAGTCTTGCCTTCCAAGTGCTGGGATTAAAGGCGTGCGCCATCACTGCCTGGCTGAAGCTGAGGTTCTTCATTCTGTTAAGCGCTCGTTGAGTAGTCCATGGCCATAGGTTTGATAGAGGTGACTGGGGAATGTGGCTAAGTTGCTAGAATGCTTGCCTGGCATGTGGGAATTCATGGATTTCATCCCCAGCATAGCACAGAAACTTTGTGTGGTAGCACCTTCCTTATTCCCAGCTTGGGGGAGATGGACTCAGGAGCATTAGAAAATTCACAGCAAAAAATTAAAAAAAAAAAAAGCCAGGTATAGTGGTTTTTTCTTTAAGAGTGTTTTCCTGGATGCACGTATATGCACCACAAATGTGCCAGTGCTTGAGGAAGTCAGAAGTGGGTCTTGGTCCCTGAGACTAGAATTGCAGACTGTTGGGAGACATGATGTGGGTGCTGGGAATCAAGCACAGGTCTTCTCCAAGAGCAGCCAGTGTGCTTAACTGCTGAGCCATCTCTCCAGCCCCTCTGTCTCAGCTTTTACACTTATCATACAGGTATTAGCTTGGTTATTTTTTTAATTTAATTATTGTATATACAGTGTTCTGTTTGCATTTTGCCTGCATACCAGAAGACAGCATCAGATCTCATTACAGATGGTTATGAGCCACCATGTGGTTGCTGGGTACTGAACTCCAGGACCTCTGGAAGAACAGTCAGTACTCTTAACTTTTGAGCCATCTCACCAGCCCCTAGGTATTAAGTTTTTGGCATAAGGGCCAATTATGATAGTTCATGTTTTAAATAAAATGCACAGCTACATACAAATGTAAGTTTAATTTATGCTTTTAAAATTGAGACTACAATAAATGAAACTGTTGTCCTAATGTATGGCCTCCTCTTAATAAATCATGATGGGGATACTCAGAACCAGATAGAATTGAGATGAATAAAAAACTGAATAAAACATTGAAATTTGGGACAGGCTGGATCTTGATTTTTACCTGTTAAAGACTAGGCTAGACAAATGCTGCCCTTGCCTGCAAGCACAGAGACCCTTTGACAGTGGCATTCCAGAACTTCTAACGCACTTGCTGAGATTAATTAAGACATGTGAGAAGAAAAAGAACAAGGCTGTTACCTAATATAGCAAGTACTTTGCACTGTGAAAGCTTTCAGAACATATTGCCTAAAACAGTCTTTTTTAAAAAGAGTTTCTTTGAGCCAAAAAGGAACTGACAGTTTTCTGAGCACTTATGTGCTAGCTACAGTATGCTATGAACCTATCAAAAGTTACCTTATTTCACCGGGCATAGCGGCACATGCTTGTCAAACCAGCATAGTACTTGGGAAGCGGAGGGAAAAGGACCAGGAGTTTGAGGCCAGCCTAACTACATGAGACCACATCTCAAAACAGACAAAAAAGTTACCTTTTCATCCCTACAACTCAAAGGGTAAATATGTCAGCTAGAGTCACACAGTTAAGTCCTTCACAATGTCAGAGAAGAACCCACATGTTTGGAGGACCTGGCATGTCCACTACACTGCACCAGACCTGACAACCCAACATCTGCAACCCCCACAGCTTTAAACCACACATCTGTTGGCCCTTGGCTTCAAATTAGTTCAATCACGGCTGGAATCATTTCCCTAGAAAGCCTTAAAACTTCTTCAATTCATACCACATACAAATACTTGGTTTTACACACACACACACACACACACACACACACACACACACACACACGGTGGGGAAATTATTATATTATTTCTGTGAGCGCTGGAAGAAATCACTTGAACTTTGGGGATTTTCTTTCTTATTTTTAAAACACATTTTTTAGATTTATTTTATGTATATGAGTAGTTTTTCTACATATACATTGATCGATATACCAAGTATATGCTGGTACCCACTGAGGTCAGAAGTAGGCATCCAGTCTCCTGGAACTGGAACTACAGACACATGTGAGCCACCATGTGGATGCTGGGAACTGAACCTGGGTTCTCTGTAAGAGCAACCAGTATGCAATTGG